TCTAAAATTTACCCTCAGAAATTACCTGTGATCTCACTATCAACTTCTCCAATAAATAATAATGATACTGCTGCAAGATTAGGTTATAATATTAATCTCGATTAACAAGCTTTACTAATTTCTGAAATGGAGCTAGTTTATTTTGCAAATCAGAAGAATACTTTTACCAGTTCTGGTCAGGCATGCAAATGTTTTTTTAAAAAGGATTTACTCCTGTCACAACCATACATACAACTTTGGAGACTGAAGAGATTATTTAGAAGGCACCTGTTAATCAGGTACTAGCAGTGTGTTTTCCCACGCTGTTTTCGAATTATGCGTTAGAAGTTGTCCTGGATCCAGCTGTAACAGTTATTTTAGTCCTTCCCAGTAGCTGGTGCAGAGTGCTGTGTTTTGGCTTTAGTCTGAGAATGATGGTGATAACACCAATGTTTTAGCTGCTGCTGAGCAGTACTTACCCTGATCAAGGACTTTTCAGTCTCATGCTCTGCCAGTGAGGAGGGGCACAAGCTGGAAGGGAGCAGAGGCAGGACACCTGACCTGAACTAGCCAAAGGGGTATTCCATACCACAGCACATCATTCCCAGTATACAAACTGGGGGAGTCTCCCAGAAGGCTCAGACTGCTGCTTGGGTCAGGCTGAATATTAGTCAGCAGGTGGTAAGCAATTGTATTGTGCATCACTTGTATTCATTTTTGTTTGTTTTTTTTTCCCTTCCCTTTTTAGTTTTATATTCTCCTTGTTATTTCTCCTATTATTAATAGTAGTAATAGTTTTGTATTATACTTTAGTTACTGGACTGTTCTTATCTCAACCCATGGGGTTTACATTCTTTCGATTCTCCTCCCCATCCTGCCTGGAGCATGGGGGGGGGGGGGGGGGCATGGTGGTGAGTGAACAGCTGCATGGTTCTTCTGAGTTACTGGCTGGGCTTAAACCAAAACAGAAGTCATCACTCATAAATGCAAGAGAAGTCAATTTAATCCCTAGATTTTGTAAACCCCAGGAGTAAACATCAGTCCTAGTGCAAGGTCTCTGTAAATCAGTTGTAGCCAGCTTGAGCCAGCCAGTCAGGTGGACTAACAGTAGTCAGGCAGCAGTAATGGTGTCACAGCAGCAGCCTGAGTTAGAGTCAAGCAAACAGCCTAAGATCAATAGTATCCAGGTGATTAAGGGAAAGCACTGGCTTGACTTTCCATCCCCCAAAATATAAACTATGTAGAAAGAATAGTGTTCTGAGGAGCTACAAGACTTTCTCCTTCCCACTCCCCACACTGATGACAATAAGGAGTCACAGTGACAAATCCTCCAGTATCACAAGCATCAGTCTCAGAGATGCTGGCCTCTGCTGCTTGCACAACTGTAGTTCACGTCTTTTTCCAATGCAGCATTGCTACCATGCCCTGCAGAATTCTGATCGGAAGAGAGGAGAGAGCGTGGAGAGTGCTTATAGGTGTGAAAGACTGCATGCCTCTATCCTGGCTCCACTTCTGTAGTCAGCAATCAGCAATAAGTGTTCATGAAAGGTCCTTACTTGTTACGAATGTATTTTCTGAGTTTGTGCAAGAATGTGAGTTATGAGAGTTTCAAATGTAGAACCTCAGGGTTAGGGTTGGAAAGATCCAAAATGTTAAATAAAAAAAAAAAAATTACTTTCAGAGTACACAATAGATAATTGGAGATTTTGGGGCTGCTGGTTTACTAGAGACCCGAGATAGTTCAAAGCTCCCAAACTTAAGAAAGGAACGGGCTAGCTCAGCTGACTTCAAATGCAGGGAAGAACAAATGTGTTAGTGAATATGACATGGTAAAGAAGGTTAGGAGAAACAGAGGGAGCAAAGAAAGACATACTGTTATTTCATTTCTTCCATTGTACCATGCCTTGAATTATTTTGAAAGCAAAATAAAGCAGGTACTCTTGACCATTATTTCTTGGATCCCTTCTGCTGTCTGGAAAAATAATTGCCACTGCCAGCATCTACAGGAGAAAACAAGAAGAATCTTATTTTAAGAAAGACATAAGGGGGGGGGGGGGATTAGTATTCTTGTATGCACAATGTTCAGATGTAGGACTAAGGTACCTACTTAGCAACACTTGAGTAGATGTGACCATACAAATAGTTAGAAATAGGAGTTACTTAATTCCCCATAATTTTAAGTTCGGCCCTTGCCTTTTCTGCATTTTGGCCTTTTTTTTGTTGCTGCCACAAGCCCTACACCATCACATGACAACAACTGGTGAGATCTCACCCTTTCTCTCCCACTGGGTGCAAACATATGCATTTGGCAGCTTCTGCTCTTAGGAGAAAAGAAAGGTGAATCTCAGGGAAATCCGAGATTTAGAGGGAGCCACTGCAGCTTCTAAAGCTCATCACCATGGAGGTGGAACAGTGTGAAACATGGTTGTCCTATAGAACTAATAGGTTATTTTCGGAATCATTGATAAACCCTTATGTATGTTCTTCCCTTTCCCATGTCCTCTGTTCTCATAGGAATCTCCCTTCATTCCTTTCTGTCCCATACATACCAATCTTTGAGGAAGTCAAACAAGGTTTTAATTTCACATCAGTCTAATTTGTGTGAAATTGGATCATGTATCTATTGCCTCTTACTGTCTCTAGGAGCAACAATATACACAGAGGACAATAAGCTTACAAAAACGTCTTGCGGTAAAAATGATTCAGTAAGTAAGTCCAAATGGCAGATGAAAAGCAAACAGGAAAGCTAGCCCAGAATCAGAAAAGACCTCTTTAGGGTTTGAGAATCTGCACAGATGCATGTGGGAAAGAAGAGAGGGGTTCAGATTAGGAGGCAGCATCTGGCAAGTATCTCTCTACATTTATACAACAACATGACAATCTGAAAGCAGCTTCAAGATAAAGAAAACCTTGTATACTGAATTGACAAACTAGCCTATAAAATCAAGTTCTCCTATTCTGAAAGAAGTTGCTTGAAACACGCCTTAAAAGTTTATGAGAAATGACTGTACATTTCATACAGCCAGGCTCCACAGACTATTGGCTTAGTAAGAACCATAGCACCTTCTAAACCTTCTTCTAATTTCTGGTAAGTTCCTTCCACTTATCTTTCTTTTGATTTTTTACTTACTAAATACAAGCTTCCAAACTACACAGACGCAGTCCAGATCCTCAGGATCACTTCAGAAATGAAATTAGATTTGCTACCAGCAAGACAAGCCACTAGAAGTATTATTTCCAGCAGAAAACAAAATTAGGTAGTCATTTAAAGAAACAGTGAGTGAAGTCCAAATGCAAGTCCGTGCAGCTACTTCATAATCATCGAATCAATGCCTTCATTAACAGAGAATAGGGGGGTTTTTTTGAGCTTCTTAAAGTATCTGCAAGTTACTGCAACAGAGGTAATGCTTACACTGAAGCCTAATGCCTTTGATGATATTAATAAATGTTCAGAATTATTCAGCATACATCAATTTAAGGAATTCCGATCAGAACATTTAAATTCAGTTGTGACACTGGGTTTCTTTAGTGCCAGCTACAAGTCTACTGTGGATCTAAACGCTACTACTTTATTGATGCTTAAATAATATAAACTAAATATATAAATATAAACATTGCAAGTCAGTAGAATCCAACACCTATCAAAGCCTCAATAAAGTCTACATCAAGCAAAGCAACAAAGTTCCTATTAACTTTTGCAGTCAATATACATGTTCAAATTGACTCTCTGTAATAGCAAAAGCACCTTCCACAACTCACTACAGATGCTGATGAACATCCAAGGTTTACTCTCACCCTGATCCTAAGTACAAAATCACGTTGTGAGGGGTCCTGTTCTGGCAGGAAGCTGTGGTTTTGCAGATTGTCAGAGCAGATTTGCTATGGATATATATAAAGGGAAGAAAAACCCCAACCCAAACAACTCCAATGTAAAATAAAAAAGATGGGTATTAAGGCTATACAATTAATAAAAGAAGAAAAATGAAAACAGTTTGAAAGCATTAATGTGCTTCATGTGTTTAGTACTGGGTTTGGCTCAGATTATAAATACTGCATTATTAAATAATAATAATAAAGATGAGTAAATTTCTAGCTTAGCATTAAGCATTTAAGCCTTTGAAATACAAATCTTCCAAAGGAAAATACTCAATTCTTCATGCAATGACATGCAATCAAAATTGACTCTCTATGCCCATCATTTTAAGTAATGCTTTAATGCTAGCACACTTTGAATTAAAGCCTTTCAATAAATACAAGAAGTAACAGCACAGTTTTGCAGATGGGTTTTATAACTTCTTTTTAGACTCAGTATAACTACAGCCAATTTTTGAAACACATTACCACATGTAGCTGGTGGAAAAAGCACAGAGACTAATTTAAGTAGTTGCCAGTATTTTCATCTTTGAGTACTGCCAAATTTCAAAAGCCTAGTGCTTCCCAATTATACTACCCGTACTTGCGTATTACATGCATGCATTAAAACTTTGCTTTGAAATACATTTTGACTGTTTCAAACCACAGATTGCAATATACCTTAAACATCATGTACTACTTGGTCAGCATCTTTCTACACCTTCTACTTGGTGACAACTTTGAAGAAAGATTCAGATCTCAGATTTTGGCCTCAATTATAGAAAACCCTATTTTAAAAATCTCTCAAATTCAAAGGTCCTGTGTGTTTAATGAAGCATTCAGAACAGGTATGAGGTCAGAAAAAAAAAAAAAAAAAACAAAAAACAAAAAACAACCCTGAACTTCTCCATACAGAGTTTTTCTTTTAAAGAAAGTTCCTCTTAAACAGAAACATAACTAAAGCAAAATGAATGACGTCTAAGTTTACTTTTTTAAGATTTGCACCAATTATTTCAACTTCTGTACTAGTATGCATGTATGCAAGTATAATGCAATTCATATGTCAATATAATTATAACTCATTCATTCTGTAACCAAATCAGCGTTACATAAGCAGGCTAATGTATGAAATGCTAGATGAAAGTTGCACCTTATAAAACCAAAGCAGATGTTTTAACTTATAGTTTTAATATAGCAATCAAAGAAAATTCCAAATACTGTACAGTGAAGTGTAGTATAGTACACTATATACTGTTATAATACACTATTGTTACATTACAGATAAAAAAAAATCAAATATAATTAGTACAGCAATCACAAATAAAACAAACCAAACTGTGCTGGGTAGCAGCCAGGTCTGTGAAGATGGTATAGTTTATATGCTAATTTATTTTTAATTCAACATGTAAAGCACTGTTTAAAAAGATTTGTTTTCTAAATATATATACACTATTTTAATTCTTATTTATACACTTTAAATAGCATTCCCTCCTAAAAGTGCACTCTCATTTCTTGGCAATAATCCTCATGAAACCTAAAATAATTCTGAAAATACCACACATTTCCACCTTTTATTGCTCAACCGCAGGCATAAGGGCTCAGAGGGAATCCTGCATTCTAAAGATCTTAAGCAACTTCTTCAATTTTAAGAAACTAAACTGATATCCACAAGCAAAAACAAAGAAAACACTGATGTAGGCTTTTCTTTTTTAACAGAAGGATTAACTTCATATCATTATTTTACAAAAGCATGTAGATTCTGATATATGAAAATAGGAGCCAAACAAATGTAGAGATAACAGTGGCATCTTCTTATATCATTCATTTTTCATACATTTCAAATGAAGCATTGCTCTCCCAATTGTAAGCATACTATGAATTTTATTACCTGGCATTTTCAGCACATTGAAAAAGTAGCAAGCAACTCTGCTAACCTTGCGACAGTGACAACAGATTCTACTTTTTGAAAGATTTCAAATTAAGCATTTTGGTCTTGAAAGTGTGCCTGTTGCACAGGGTTGTTAGCACACAGCCCTGCAGCTGTGCTGATGCTAGAGCATTCCATTGGAGGCAGCGCCTACCTCACATTCTGTGTCTCTCAGAAGACTAGTAAACTATATAGGTTTCACAAAACCAACAATATACATTGCTGCTATGTGACTATAATAGCGAAGGCATCCCAAATATATTTATACAACTTCATTTGAAAAGCTGCTATTTATTATCCCCTCACTGAAACACAAACAATTCACAGTGAAACAGCAATACCAAAGTCAACCTTGCTAAGCAGCCAGCCATAGAAGTAGTAAAAATCTTGCCTCTGCCTGGAAAACCAATCTGTTCTCCTGAGGTTTCCCATATGCTCACCAGCAATCTAGTCATTTCTCTTTTATATTTTTTTTTCTTCTCTACTGAGCCTGTATTTTCAGTAATCATCTTTCATTTAGGTTATAAATAATAAGCCAGAATAAAGTTTAGGATTTTCAAATAATGTAAGCCGTCTTTGCCATGAGACACTGTGTAGAAGGAGATGGACCCTAGTCAAGGAAGTACTCAAGGCAAGTATTCGAAAAGAATTTGGAACCACAACCTTGTCCACAGGCAATTCAGTAGCAAGAACTTAGCATTTGGGGTTTTTATGAGAAAGAGGACACTCCACACTGTTTGAGAAGTTGACATGGCTTCACATCCACAATGAGTCCACATCTTCCCTGCCCTTGTACCCCACCACCATTTTCCTGGCTCTAACAGGAAAATTTAACAATCACACGGGTGCTTCTGAGACAGCGACACAGATTTGCCTCAACTCAAATTTGCACTCACTGCTAGCAATCAAATGAAACATCTGTTCAAACTTACACTTCAGTGTTCTTTATTTCACTTCTCCTGAACAGTTACACATCTCACCAGCACGCAGATGAAGTTTAGCTCCACTTGAGAGTATCAAAAGCCATCTTTCTCAAAAACACTGATACTTAAATGCATGAGAAAGCCACGTGAAATAAGAACACTGCAAAGAAATACACACAATCCTGTTTTACACCAGAGGAATTCATATCAGCCCATCTCATGACTTTGACACCATTCCTTTTTGAGACTATTTTGTTTTAGGAACTGAAGAGTTCTCATCTACATGACTTGAATGGACCCGAGAAGACGCTAACGGCGAGTTAGACAGAGTGTCTGTTTCTATTTAGATAAGAAGGAAAATGTCAAATTACTGCTGAAACAGGAAGTGTGTCAAAATTAAACTAAGCCTTCCTCTTAATACAGTAAAGGCACACAAAAGTCTGTAGTCTTACTAGAAAGGCATGAAAGAAGTAAGCAATCTTCTCTTTAAGTAAGGATGATATGCAATAAAGATTCCAATTTATTCCAAACTTGGAATTGTCTCCTATACACTGCCTATATTTTTTTCAGCCAAGGAAGACTTCTTTTTCTAAAGAAAAGGTTAAAACTAAGTGGTAGTTAGCTTGTCAAAATGCATGAGATCTAGGAGATTCCTCCTCCTCAGCCTCCCCTGACTTAAACTCCTTCCCAAGGACGTGTCACTGCTATACTGTTCTACAGCTCACACCATGGCAAAGCACAAGCCTCTACTCACATTTTCTATATGGAAGTAGCCTTCAGACAGCTCAACTGATTCATGGAAGACTAAATGTTTTCAGATTCATGGCAGGCTTCCAGCTGCTACATGTGCATCCTGTTTCTCACTGAATAAGCCCTGCCAGTTAATCAGTGCATCACCAAGTTCAGTTCTGGTGAGCCAAATTACTTGATACATTCCAAGCTTCCAAATAGCTAACTTACAGGTTAGCAATTTAGGATCTTCAAATTTTTCATTTATTTCTGAAAAGGTGATTCTTATTTTTTACCTATAGTGTACTAAATCATAAAACATTTATTCTCTCTACATAAAAAGTTAACCAAGAGGCATTTGAATTTACTTTGACAAAACAGGGCTGTTCTTCAAGTGACTTGCTTCTGTTAATTTTTCTATAAGAAAATAAATCCTCTCTTCTAATGCTCAGAACTGTTTACGGGATTAGCAATGTAAGAAGTGAGACCTTTCTGAATACAAGCATATGCAACACAACATTTGTGAACTGGTAAAAACCCACATGTGCATGAACACAGACTTCAATATTTAAATGTTCTTAATTCCTTTGAAGCTGTATTAACATCTTTCACCCATTCAGTGTTATTTTACCATTAGAGGAAGCAACAATAGTGCATTTAATATGACTATGAAGATCAAAAGCAAACTCCAGTATCAGATACACATTCCATCCTTAGGGAGCAAGCACAATGGCTGCTTCTTAAAAACTAGCACTGCAGGTCTGATGAACACACTACTTAAGTGGAGACCAGATGTATTATCACTGATGCAGGGAATGCTGCATCACAAACTGAAGCGAGGCTAATAGAGGTGGGTAGTCTTTACTGACACTGAAATGGCATGTATTCCCCTTGTTTTCATGCAGTAAACAGTGCGCTTCCACTAGCTCCACTGTCACTGAACACTTTAGGAGAATATATTTTAAGAGAGTTGTTTCCTTCCAATAAATTGTTAATTTGCTTTAAAAATGCCAGCTATTTATTTTTTGCCATTACTAACCAATGCTAGTAATTAAAGTATTTTAAAAGAAAAAATGGATTTGCCATTGAACATTTGTTGTTTCCTGCAATTGCCACCTTCTCTCCTGTAGTTGTGTTAAAAGTTGCACAGGATCTAACCAGTTGAGTATTTGGAAGGAAATAAAAACATGCTATCACTTACTAACAGAGCACCAAAATGGTTGTGTTGGCTCAGACAGCCAAGCATAACCACACCACATTCACTTTATCTTCATCATACACTAAGTACCCTTTTTTCTAACTTGCTTAAACTGATAATGTGGAGAAATTAGAGAGTTCAGTAAAGTTACACTTTTCAAGATTTCTGACAAGCATATATATCTGTATGAATGAACGTTTTTAAGTTGGAGGAAGTGCAAGCAGAGTGTAACTGAAGTACTGTATAGGCTACATTATCAAATTTAGCAGAAGTTCAGTTTTAGTTGCTTTTTGAAATTTACGTGCAATTCATGTTTATAGTGTGTTTTCAAGCAGAATTAAGTGCCTGGGACAGGATTAATTTAGTCACGTTTCTAGTTATTCCTGTTCTAGCCTTTCCAGTGACCTTAAACTAGCATGGTAAGAATGGGCTTCAATTTTAAGACTTTTAAAGAATTAAAAATTACAAAGAATTTTCAAGAACCCACATTTACAGCAGATATTCATCTCAGTGCATTTCCTAATAACTAATTTAAAGGTAACAGAGCCAGCCTGGGCAGCAGTATGGTAATATTGAAAGCTATTGCCAATCACACGCTTATCATGCACTGAATAAGATGATATAATCTTTGACATACATACAAGACTTAATAACTAATCACTTTGTGTGGCCCAGCCAATAAACATTACATTTGAACAGTAATTTTTTCTACCCTTATTAGATTTTAACCTATCAAGAGTGATCCATTGGCTCAGTTGCATTAGTGATTCCTGCATCTTGACTATCCATCTCCTCAAGCTCCTCAACAGAATTTCCCTTTTGTGCTTTAGACCTTGCAGGGAATGTTGTTCCCACAGAATTCACCATGTTACTATCAGTTGATTCAGTATTCAAGTGTTCAGTACCACCTGGTGCAGACAGTGATTCGGGTAAGGCAGCCTGAAAGCTCCCAGTTTTAGCAGTTGAACTCACTGCCTCTACTTTTCCTTGAGATAGATCAACTGATGCTGACTGCTCTGTATTCTGATCCCGCAAATGTCTATCCATTGAAGCCTGAATAGAAGAGACCATTTCCTGCAACTTTTTTCTCTGTGCCTCAATCAAAGTGGGGTCAAGCTGCCTGCTGTCTCTCATTGTCACAACTCCCGGTGCAATTCGGATAAGCTCACTGTTACCAGAAGCAGCTGTGAATACAGAAGGCTCAATTTTAGTAGAAGGACTGAAGTCTGTTTCTGTGCTATGCTTTCTTAAAAGTGGTGTTTCCCTGGCTTTTTGATCATGTTGTTGACTACTAGATGCAGTTCCCAGGGAATGGCCCTTTCCTTGAAATGCAGTTATGTTATGTAGTTGTTCAGATTTCTTTTTCACCACTCCACCACTACCCAGCTTCAGCATTCCATGTGAAGGACTTGCTTCCCTGCTTCTTGAAGTAGCTTCTGCTCGCACTTGACTTAAGGCCTCTTTAACCAACTCTTCAACGTCAGGACCAATAGGAAAGTGCCCAGCAGCATCCACGCACAGCTCTAATCTGTCTTCTGCTGCATTGTATACAAAGTTTTTACCAGGCAGATGTGGGAAAGTACAGTGCTTGCCATCAGCCAAACCTATAAAGATAGAAGAAGTTATTCATGGTACTAAAATATTTTAAAGCATGCTTTGAATACACACATTGATTACTGTATTTAAACTTATTGCATCAAATATGTGGAAACACACTGAAACTTCATACTGTGGGAGGAAATTTAGGCTTGTATGCCATATGCCAGCAATCACAGTATAGTCTTAAAATGCTGCTGCCTTCTATGGTGATTCTAATGAAAAGACAAAAATGTAGTATATTACTAGATAAAATAGCCACCTTGCTGGGACGTGCAGTTCTGATACAACAGAAGTTGAAGAAATAGCATATGCTTGCAGCAGCACAAAGCAAGCCAAACCCCACGGCTACCACCACCACCAACACCCCCCCACCCAAACCACACAAAACCAAAACAGAAACAAAAACCAACCCCAAACTGAAACATACCCCTGCCCCCCACAGGCAACAACAAAAAAAACCCACACCCCACCGGCCAAAGAGCACATTTCAAAACACTACTGCTGTATCTAGAGAAGTACTGTTTAGTACCACTTCCATATGTAGCAGGACTTCAGGGTGTGCAACTGCTGCTAAGCCTCAAGAATTTCAAATTTGATATTTGTCTTCTCAGAGAGGAAGTGTTGCCAGATAAACAAAAGTGTTTTAAGTTTACAATGTTTAGTAGTCCTGGAGATTATAAATACCACAAACATTTACAACATTGAGATCTATTACAACATTTACAAAACAAACATGATACATAATAATTTTTTTTTGCTGTTTGTCTCACTGTCCTACTTAAAATTTGATTGATCTTCTAAAATTGAGAGTTCACTAGACAAATTTAAGTTCTGAAGCTCCTCTGTGTCAAAAATGGGTAGCAGTTTTCCAGTTTATTATCATAAAACTTCCGACACACAGCTCCTTTCTTTACATATCCACAGGAGCCAAACAGCCAAAACACAGAACAAAACTGAAACACAAATACCTATCCCTTTAAGAACCTGAAGAACATACTGTAACTACAGAATTTACCAGCTCAATCTTGATTTGCAGGAGAGAGCTGTAACAGCTTCTTCTAGGCTAAAACTACCTTTGAAATTGCAATTCTGAAATTTCAAATATGTTAAACAAGATCCACTAAAATCAAACTTCAATTGATAAAAAGTACCTGCAATTGACAGAAAGCTTTGTTCTAAATGTCCAGTATCATAGTTGCATTATTACGATATCTAAAATACTACAGATAGGTAAGTAGCTTCTTTAAGTGAAAAAGAAAAAAAAAGATTGCTGCACATTGCAATTGTTTAGTGGAAATGTAGTAAAAATCATAGAAGTATGTTAATGCTGAAATAGTAGTTCTACCTACCAAGGTAGTGCAAAACACCTACAACACAGAAATGATGTAATAATGCTGCAATAATGTTCAAATACAGAATATCATCTCCCACTGTCATAGTTCTTAAGTCATTTTTGCCAACTGACAATGAAAATCGGGCATTTTCTGTGAGTTAATGACCAGCTGGGTTAAAATCCCTTGGATTCATTTCAGGTTCTCAACTCTGGCTAGTTGTTAATTGGTCCAAAAGGTCCTTTCTATCAGCCACTGTTTAAGCTAATTCACTTGCCAGAAACAATACACCAGTCTTTACCGTACAAGCATAATAGAAGAAAACTGAAAGGAAACAGATCTGCTATAAGACACTTGGCATGCTAATTCTGTTACCCAGGCTAATAATTCAGTGGGAGGTAGTGGGCAGTAAATATACCACACATTTCAATTACTGCAAACAGCACAGAAATTATGTGATAAAATACCTCTTTCCACATATAATCAAGATTAAGTTACGGTTGATAAAACTGCCTAAGAAATCACAGTAAGAAAGAAGCAAAAAAAAAAAAATCATTATAATAGATGAAACCACAAGAGCTAAACTATGAATGTAAAGACTTGAGTATGAAACTTGAAATGTGATAAAATAACGTGTACCTTCTTCTCTAAAGAAAGATGTTATTCTTTGTAGGCAGTATTTGTAAAGCTGTCTAAAAATCAAACATACTCTTAACTACTTGCTTGGTTATTCTGCACATCGCCCAAGATGCAACATTTATCAATTCAAAAAGAAGATAGATAGCTTTGCTTTTGAACAACCATCTTAAGAATATGAAAGGCTATTTAAATTTAAAACATGCAGTAGCCCTGTATAAAATAGCTACTAAGAAATACACTAGAAAGATTAACTGTTTATCCAGTAAGTGTTTTAAAGTGTAACAGGAGTAACTCCTATGATCTTCTCTTTGTTTGATCTCTCTGGGAAAAAAAAAAAAAACAACCAAAATCATTTGACTTACTGAAGTTGTTTATACAATTCAGTAAGTTTAAATTGAAACGTATGGTTGTAGAAAAAAATTCAGAAAAGAGGTTTAAGTTGAATGAACTAGTCTTAGTAAAATTCCATAGCCTGAAGTTCTTGAGGAAGCATAAGAAGTTCCACAGTATCATGAAAATTAAGATGTACCACGCTAATAAAATAAAAATATATTTATGCTCACAAGCGACTCAATACCAATTCACAGTTTTAAAGATCTGGAAACAGAAGAAGGAAGGGATAAAAACAAAACCAAAAAATACCTGTGGTTTTCTTCATCATGCTGTAGAATACTCCACCTGGCTGAAACAACTGAGGAAGCCCCTTTGCGTAGGACCAAACATCTTCCCCTGTAAAAATCAAACACAATTATTAAACAGTTGTATTTTAACATTACAGACCAGGCTCAAAAGTGCAACTCCTTGAATTAAAAGGTGAATCCTCACTCTCTTCTATGCAATTATTTATTGCAAATTTACATAACAGGAGCACAGGACACCAAGAAACTTTCAGGAAAACATACCACTGTCTGCAATCAAATATCCTACACGTTCTAGTACAAGGTTCCCAAATTTTATTTGACCCAAGCTGCAGCTCCTGGTTCTTTGCCAGACCCTATACACAAGTCTCTATTCCCCTCCCACCCATGCTTTCAACATAAAACTAGCAAAAAAAAAAAAAAGCACACTTCCAAAATTCAAGCACATACCCTTGCACGTTAAAAACCTCAATTCTATATGCCTACACCTTCTCAAAAATCAGATCTCAATTTCACAGCTGCCATACAGCAGACTTTATACTGTCATTGAGATACAAACATCTACGCAGGCAGCTGTGCAAAAGCTGTGTCTTTACCTTGCTTTTCTTGAGAGTTAGAAGCAAAATACAAAACCTGTGAGGCCCCAGCTGTCCCATGTAACTGGCATTTTCCAAAGATGCTAAAAATGGCATTGAAATGTGACAACTTCAAATGCCACTGAGAGGGAAAAAAAATACCCTAACTTGACTATGTAAGGAAAGGAATATAAGGAACAGAAAATTGGGTTACAGTCACAGAATATCAGTGGCCTAACAGTACCTGCTAAATTGGTTCAGATCTGCATTTCTACCTGTGCCCTTTTCCAATTTTGCTAACCACTTACCTGCTTGAGAGAAGTGACTTGTGATGCAGCTGTCAAACGGTGCAAATAAAAGGTACTGATAAATTCCATTCTCCTGATGCAGAAGCAAGTACTGCCTGTATACATTTTCAGAAAAAATTGCTTTTCCCATTTTACATCAATCATTCAGGCAACATACCGAGATACCCTAAATAGAAACTGCACCCTTCTTTAGGCATTAAAATCTCAATAACCACATCTCTCAATTTTCTATTAAAACTGGAGAATGCAAGTCATAAAATTAACTAGATGCACTTACTACTTGTATTAGAGATAGCTGGGTTGGGTGACACTAAAAATACTACCATTATTTCTTTGCTTGCTGTTAAGAGGAAAATAAAAGTTAAAAGTTACTTTTAATAGCTTCCTACATACTGAACTACAGAGCACATCTAAATCCCTCCTTGCACTTCTTTATGCATATCCCACAAGATAACTGTGGCTAGTCTCCTATCCACCCATGTCAGGTGAGAAAACATTTCACCCTCATGACATGTGCTATGTTATGCCTTGCAACCCTTCAAGCCACTTGCCGACTTTCCCACTTCCCTTCCCCAGCAGGCACTTGACTCCATACACTCCCCTGCTTGTCTATCCCGCCCACAAGAAGGGTTCCGTGTTATGCCAGTCCCCATTCTCTCTAAGAAGGGCACAATGCATCTTCATCATGTTTGGACTTCAAACATTTTAAAGATGATACCTACATAATCTGATTAATTTTAAATGCATTCCCTTGAACCATATATGCTCTGGTTCACTGCTCTCATTTGCACATCAAGCTCACAGATTTGGCCTTCACTTCCTAGCAAGAGCATCCAGGTAACAAACCAACTACTCTTCTTCATTATTTTCCATGATCTACAGAAGAAGGTCTTGTCTTTTGATTTTATCCCAGTAACTCCTGTCTACTGAGTTGCTAATAAATTTGAAGCGTCTCTCCAGCTCTGACTCCACTAAGAAAAAAAAAGGAAATTAAAAAATGTAATAGGAGCATTCTCTTTTCCTCCCCACTGTTGCCATTTTTTTCTCTCTTCTTCAAGCAGCTGCATAGAGGGAGGGCAATCTGCTACCCCACATCCTTATTCTCAGTAACATTTTGCAATCCACATCCCTACATACAATGGTTCCAGAGCATCACTACTGTGGCTCTTCATTTCCCCCCAGGTCTTCCTGATGGTTTAAATACTGCCCACAGGAATCAAAACAACCACTACACTGATAAGCAACAGAATACAGACCATCTGCCAAAACCAGCAGCCACACAGTGGCTGACTTCATACTATGGACTCCTATGCTGCTGCATCTAGCAATCCATTCTTATTCGAGACTAGAGGCTACCTTCCACAAGACCACCACCTGACTTCGCTAAGAAGCCCAGGTTTTACACGTTAGTCGGATTCTGCAAGAAAAGATTCCCTATTTGGTTTGAGCATTTGTCAAGCCTTGCACAAGAGAAGCATCACTGTTTAGATAACCTTTTATGCAACACTAACTGCCTTTTATGCAGAAAAGTACGGAGAGCAGGGCTCACAAAACAAAAGCATCTGCCACTGAAAGAAACACAAAGCAATGATACTGTTTTGATAAAGAGATCTTCCACACAGAATCAAACCCACAGTCACAACTGGACTTTCCCAGATCAAAGGAACTAGCTTGTGTGATTCAACACAGCTGCATTTGAGGTTTGCACATTTTTGTTTCTAGTTGGTTTTTATTATTTGTTTTGAGTTTCATTACCATGGCAGTAAGACACTTACAGGTCACAAGTTAATTTGGGTGATCATTTAGTTAGATTAAAAATTCCTTCAAGTTACTACATTTATCAAAGAGATGATGTTAACACTGTTCCCATTCCCTCAGACCAAACCTCAGCCCCACAAAGGTATGGCAACTAATGGAGACTACCCTACACACAAGCATGCCTCATACACTGCACAAAAAGAGCAGTTGCAAATTAACCTATGCCAGTGGAAGCCTAAGACCAGCACTTCAAACAGCAGGGAGGACAAACAGAAGCAGAGAACAAATCAAAAACTCAACTGATAAATACAGGTTACAAGGAACTACAGGTGGCTTAAAACCAAGCTGCTTAATTCCAAGCAAATGACAGTGTTAATATATTTAATTTAAATCAGGCAATTTTGATTTCTTGTGCACTGATGAATTCATCAACGCAAAACAAACCAATGACAATAGATTCATACTTGGCTTGCATGTATCCAGAGTGCTTCTGCATGGGTGTAATTAAATCTGTTTCAAAACATAACGCTTTAGCTGTGTTAATGTAAAATTACAATTCTTTAATTCATTTCCTGATAGACTTCTGTATTTTGAGATAAAAAAGAGGAGAAAGCTTTACCAAAAAAACATGCATAATATGTTATGTGGTCCAGAAATTACAGTATCTCATTTCCCAGAGCTTATCTTTAAATTAGATACAGAAAAATTAAAGAACATGGTCTAAAACTGTAATCAGTTAACCGGCTGAGGCCAGAAATAAAAAATTCTACGAACTGAAATGAGAGAAGCATCAAGTCAGCCTACAGGAGACACTGTTTGACAGAAAAGCTTTTAAACATCCACAGTGAATAGTTACAGAAGTTTGAGCACTGGGGAGTTAAAAAAGAAAATAGCAAGCTACTTCAACAGCATCTCCCCTTTGGACTTTCCAATGTGACTGTATTATTAGATGCATGTTTTTAGCAGAACACAGTTACAACAAGAGCATGCAGGATAAGCTGACTCTGAGAACTTCCCAGCACTGGTTTTTAGCAATACAGAAATGTCATTGAGAAATACTGCAGCCTCTCACCCCAGCAAGGCTGAATACACCACCCTGAGAACTGCCACTCCAACACTCTGAAAGTGCAAGGACTAAGGAAGTTTCTTAAGAGTTTGTCTCCCCATTGAAAACTCCCAACTGTAAACAGTGACCTGCCCAGACTTTGTTTCTACAAGTATCTTTAATGGAAAATGAAGCCCTGGTGAGAAAAGTGATTATCTAAAAATAGCACCTTATTCAGTAGCTGCATTAGTTGTTATAAATGGTTTATCATTTGCTGCACCTTTTACTTCTATTAGTAACACAAAATAGATGTGGTCAGAGAAGGGTGAGGTAAATTCTGTTCTAACCTGTGATTCGAAAGCAGAAATTAACAGCAGTGAAAGTCAGAGACAAGAAATGATTCTTTTCCCATTTTATGAATAAGTAGCTGTAAATAAAATGACACACCTTAATGCTGAAGTAACCAAGATACTTTTAAAGCATGTCAGAGGTTTTTTGTAAGCCAGTAACTACACTTTCAGCAGTCTTGCCTGGAAACAGAAAGCTCTCTTTTAAGCCTCATCTCCAAATTGAGATAGCTTTTAAACCTGAGCTTTTCCTGCACTTTGGAACATAGGTGCAGGTGTCAGTGTGTTGAGGTGACTAGTGATTCAGCATGCTATTTTGCAGTAAACAGTCAAGCTTTGAAAAGAATCAAAGTTCTGATTGGTGGACTTCTGACATACCAGTCTGTGATTATGCAATTGTTTCGTTTCTGAAGTATCACATGCTTTAGCCACACCAAATCCCTCCAGCCAAAGAGAAGGCTCCCCAAAAAAAAAACAAAACCCCCAAAAAACACCCAACAACACAAAAAACAAACAAAAAATCTTGCAACCATTGCTATTCAACTGGTTCACAGAGCTAAATGTATGGTAATTACTGCCCTACTTCCTGTTAGTAAGCAGCAGGAGCTGTGGAACCTGATGAAGAAAGTACACAAATGAATGTCCAAGTCTCCCGAGTCCAAATATGAATATAAAAAAACACAGGCACCTGGGAAAAGTCCTTAGTCCTTCTGTCTTGAATTATTAACAGCCAGATTTACATGACTGACAACTGATAAGCATGGCTTCGCAACCCTGTGTCCACCTCCAGGATTCAAATCTGTGGTTAGTTTCTTCCAGTTTCTCCTCTGCTTACCATCTGAGATAATGCTTTTCACAGCTCTCTAAAAAGACCATCTCTTCACTTAAAATTAGCAGATTAGCTAAGGAGACAATGCTGCGTTCATTTGCTTAAACCAACACAACTCCCCTGTGGCAAGAAATGTCAAGATTTCATCCTACTACAGAGGTGAGAATTTGGTCCTCAAACTTCCAATGACAAGACACTCAGAGTCCCCTTCTCACCTTGGCTCTGACTTTATTTCCTGAAACCTGAAGGAGATTAGGAAATATAGGGAGCAAGTAACCCACACACATACACATAAGATGTGTGCCTAATGAATGACAGGAAAAACAGAGAAGACAACAGAAGAATGCAACAACTTCTGATTAGCAAATCTGTTAAATACATAGCAAAGAAAGAACAAGTATCTCGCACACACATTTTAGAAAGTCACAACACCCAGCAAATCACTGACAGCATGTTAACCGTTCTTCTAATAGAGGAATAAAGGAACTAAACTTCTCTGTGGTTACAGAAAAGAAAGGGAAAAAAAGGTATCTATGTAACTACAGGTTATGTTACCCTCTACTTAAAACCACAATTTTAAAATACAACTGGAAGTCAGGCTTACCCATTAGTGTTGCTAGAAGACAGAGAGAATACATCTCCTTATCCACTTGCTCTTGTAGTTCTTTTGATGAGATTTTACTAGTCAGAGCAACGTCTTCATGTTTCACAGCATGGGCCGCATGTGCTGAAGCAGACTGCCTGCCTTCCTCCTTACCTTTCAGGATTTCTATGGCAATCCTGTCACCGTGCTGCAAAGGAACAGGCTCATTTTCCATGCCTTCTTTGGGAGGCAGCAGCTCTTTAGGAGGAAAGCCATAACGAATACATTGCAAATAGGGAGGAATATTAAATTCTCTTGCTATGCTTTCCCGCAGTTCCAGGAAGGTGGTAGTGCACTTCAGTGTCAGCATTGACTGCCTCCCATCATTCGTGGTTATTCGAATTTTCTTTTCTTTTGCAGATGTTGGAGAATAGGGGGCTTTTGTTGGTGTAGCAGGTGCAGATGATGGCCCCTCACGAGCAGCCCCAGGAGAAGCAGTCCTAGGTTGCCCTTTATGCTCTTGTTTCAGTTTTTCACTCTTCCGTTTCTGCATTACAGAAGCCTGATCTGCAATGTTCTGCTGAATAGTTCTTTCAGCTTTGCTCATGTTCAACTCCTCTTTGTGCAAAGTTTTTGTCTTCTGTCCAGTCAAAATAATTTTGGTTGGAAGTTGTGACTCTAACTCTTGTCCTTGCTGTACATCATCAGCTCTTTGGGCATGAGCACCATCAATATTTACAGGGGTATAATCATCAGGGTTCTTTTTGGCAGTTTGATGCAATATTGTGTTGACAACTTTCTGAATAAGAATCTCACTACCAAATTCCCCAGGGAAGTGCTTGGTAACAAGTTTCATGGCGACATCATACACATTGCTGTTCAGAGAAGCATCACTTTCATACTGGAACCAGTAGACGGTCTCTCTCACCACTCTTCCACTCCACTCTAGAGTAATAGGAAAAGCTTCAGGGAGGTTGTCATATTCTTTACCTTCCCAATAGTGCTTGAACCCACAGCCACATTTGCCACCTGTGGACCGAGTATTAGTTCTGTCTCCATCCAAATACGAAACAGATCCATCTTCTCTGACGCGACGCACTAAGTTACCATGACACCAGTTACAAGCAGTCAAACTACTCAGGCTATAGTCTGGTACCAGCACATCCTTCACGGGGTTGTAGGAACACACCAAACTGTTCAGGGGAAAGCTGTAATTTTTGTCAGGCCTCAGTTGTCCATGAGTGCTTTTTGCCAGGTTATATAGCTTCCCCCCGGGAGCCAGCCACTCTGGAGGAACATGATGCTCTGAAAGGGCCCCACAGATGAGGCACCTGTGAAGGCGGTTGTCCATCACTGCTTTTTTGGCAGCTGCAGTGACTTCTTCAGGCTGGATTCCTATTACACCAGTCCTTCTGTAGAAATACTGATGTACATCAGCTACAAGACTGGGATGGATCCCGTGTTTACTCATGAAAACCTCCTCCATTGCAGCAACAAGCCTCATCAAGTACTTATCTTGCAAACTTCTGTCTCCTCCAATGACACAGCCACCATCCTCCTCTAACTTGATGTACTTTTTGATGAGGTCTTGAGGGACTCCCCAGGCTTTAGGAAGTAGCTTCCTAGGCAGTTTAGGTAAAGCAGCACCTTTTATTCCAACTAGAGGAATGTAATGGTTTCGTCCTGAGCTACTCCAGGCTATGCAGATTGGCTTGTTCAACATGCCATCTTTTCCCATGCATTTTTCTAAGGGTATCAGGCCAGGGAGGAACGTCGCCGAATAATCTCCAGAGCTCCGCATTCCGCTCAAGGAGTCTAACAGGATGATAGGCCGGTGAAGCACATTGGCCAGGCCAAAGATGTGAATATTCCTAAGGCCCATTGGCACACCTTCTGGAGGAACAAACAAAGGGTCACATTCATTGATAATGTCCTCCCACTCTGCTGCATCAATAAAGTCATGGAAAAGTGCCTTGTAGTGACTCAGGTTCTCCTCAAAGTGCTTCTTTAGATTCTCCCGCAGAGCATGCCAGAACAGTTCCCTGCCAACAAGTGCCCGCGAGACTGCGTGGACGAGGCAGTGGCCATCTCCATCCACATGGACTGGAATGAGGCACTCCTGACTGTTGTTGGCCTTCTTGATGTCTTCCAGGGTGTCATGCAGGTAGATGAGGCTGCCGGAACGGTCCTTTCCATATCCGATCGTTTCAACATGCTCCGGCTCAATGAGGAAGGCGCGGTCACCCAGGAGGGAACAGTCAAAGATGTCTCCCTGGTTCATCTCCGTGAGGAGCTTGGCTTTGCCAGTCTGCTTGTCCATCCCGTAGCGAGCCAGGATGGGGGCCAGGAGCTTGCAGTGGTAGTTGGAGAGGCCCATGACTTTGACGAGCTCGGTGTTCCTGCGGGGTGGGCCGGCACCACTGACGCCCAGCAGCGCGTTTCGCAGCAGGTTGTGTAGCACCAGGTCGGGGTCCGTCACCTCCTCCACGGCCAGCAGCTGCCGCTGCTCGTGACGCTGCCCGCAGTCCGTGCACTCGATGCTCCCGCTGCTCTGCGGCCCGTGGGCCGGGAAGAAGAGCCGCGCCTGACATTTGGGGTCCGGGCAGGTACCCGAGAAGATGCGCCGGTCCCTCTTCTTGGAGGCGGCCGAAGGCAGCGGCTGCTGCTGAGGAGACGGCGGCGGTGGCGGCGGCGGCTGTTGCTGCTGCTGAGGCTGGGACATCGCTCTGCTCTGGCCGAGCTTCACCCCCACCTGTGCTCCTCCGCCCTCACAGGCTCATCCTCTGCGCCCCAGCTAACGACCGCCGCCGTACTGGTACTGGTACCGCTGCCGGCTGCCAACCGCCCATCCACCGAGGGCCCTCCTCCCGCCGCCGCCGCCGCCGCCGCTTCTCGCACCCTCCCCCCTCCTTCCCGGCAAACACGGAAGCTGCCGGCACCGCCGGTTACTGCCTCTTCGCTGCCTTAGCCGTTGCCCGCAACGCAACGGCCTTTCACTTCCACGCGCAGGCGCGGAGCCGCGAGGTCTCTCGGGAGCGTTAGTCTTCTCCGCCAGCCAAGCCAGGGCTGGGCCGGGGAGCGGCAGCGCCCCAGGACTACATGGACCGTGATGCCAGGCGGCAGGGGGAGGGCGGGGCCCGGCCGGGCAGGGCAGGCGGTGCCGCCGGTCCGCGGGCTCCTGGGAAGTGTAGTCATGTGACCGGTGGGCCGCGGAAGAGGGGAGCAGGGAGGGACATTTTTAGGGAGCGTTTGGAGCTCTTGTTGCGCTTCCTGTGGCGGGCATGCGGGGAGTGCAGGGCGCTGTGTTTAAGGCGACACTCCCGCGTATCTGTAGGTTTGGGGGAAAAGGACCCTGGGGTGTTGATTGGCGGCTGCTGAACATGAGCCAGCTTGTGCCCAGGCAGCCAAGGAGTCCAACAGCATCCTGGGCTGTATCAGCAATGGTGTGCCCAGCAGGGCCGGGGAAGTGATTGTTCCTCTCTACTCGGCACTGGTGAGACTGCACTTCTATACTTTGTTCAGTTCTGGGCTCCTTACTACGAGAGAGACATTGAGGTACTGGAGCGGGTCCAGGGAAGGGCAGTGAAGCTGATGAAGGGTCTAGAGAGCAAGTCTTAAGAGGAGCAGCTGAGAGAACTGGGGTTGTTTAGTGTGGAGAAGAGAAGGCTCAGGGGTGTACCTTATTGCTCTCTACAACTACGTGAAGGGAGGGGACAGAGAGGAGGTTGTTGATCTCCTCCCAAGTAACAAGTGATAGGACAAGAGGTAGTAGCCTCAAGCTGCACCAGGGGAGGTTTAGACTGGATATTAGGAAAAAGTACTTCACCAAGAGGGTGATCAGGTATTGGAACAGGCTGCCCAGGGTGGAATCATGAGACCATCCCCAGGTGGAATCATGAGACCCTCAGTAACATGGTTTAGTGGTGGTCTTGGCAGTCGTGAGGTAAAGGTTGGACTTGGTGATCTTAAATGTCTTTTCCAACCTGGCTGATTCTATCATTCTCTCTATACCCCTCTAATGTCACCCCACCCACTCACACACACACCCCCCCGGCATGTGCACTGAAGCAGGGCTCTCTCCTATGCCGCCTGTTCCTCTGCTGGCACTAGGGGAAGGAGGCAGCTCACGCCGCCTGAAGCCTTGTCTCCCGCTTTGGCCCCATCTCCTCACAGTGCAGCCTGGGCAAGCTCCAGCAGGTTGCTGCCGACAAGGGGCTGGCAGAAAGGGGCACAGTGGGTGGCCGGGCTCTAGCCTGCACCTCACCACTTCCAGGCAGGGGGGTCTGAGTGCCTGGGGCTGTCTGGGCACGGAGGCTTTCAACCAGCACCCCAGCCACCACCTCCTCCCGGGTACCAATCCCCTGCAGACATGGGAAGCGTGGGCTCTGGCTCCAAGTATCTGCCCATGCAAGTCACCACAGGGCCAACATGGGCTGCCCTCACCGTCAGCATGGAGCATGCTTTTGGAACTGCCCAGGCCTTCTGGAGCAAGATGTCCCCTCGACGAGATTTGGCTTCTCAAGCAGCTACGCCAGGCTGCTTCTCCAGGAGGTGATCTATCTAAACGGAGGTGTTCCCCAGCTGCTGACTGCTGATTGTGCTGGAATGAGACACGAGGAGTCGAAAGAGCAAGTTGTTAACACAAGTGCTCCCTCCTGCTGGTGCTATATGAGGAGATAATGAGGGAATGGAGCTGGCGCTTATGTTATCTCCAGTGGCCATCTGAAATGAGACTTCATAAAAATGAAAGGGAATAATGTTCGCAACTTCCAACCTAATTACAGTCAGCTGCTGGCATATTCACGCAGACAGCTCAAGGAGGGTTACTGTCAGTGTGCAGGTGAAGTTTTCTGGAAGCCAGTCCAGGTAGAGAGTTATCTTTCAGCAAAGGAAAACAAACCCTGAACTTCTGAAGGACAAGGTAGCACCTCATTGGGTATTACCAGAGTGACCCAGCCCTACAAATACAAGAGCAGAAATTACCTCTGTTATCTTAGTTCTACCGAACACCAGAACACCAGGCGTTTACATCCCAAGACCTTACCTATTCTGTAGTCACCCAAATGATGTAAAATTAGAGTAAAAATCATGCAGAATGTACTGTGCTTGTACTTTGCAATACCGAAAGCACGTTTCATTTTCATTAACCTATGAAAAGTAATCTATGCAGCTAACAAATCATAAAGGCTTGGATGAGTAACATATACAGAAAAACTCTGGTCTGTGCTTTATCACAGGCTTAAGGAAAAAAACAACTCCAGGCCTGTGACACACTGAGCACTGACATCTTCCAGTGACAGCAGCAGAGCTGTGCACTCCTTCCCTCTCGATTACAGTTATCTGTTAAGCATAGCCTATATATGTGTGTGTGTAAATGTATGCATTCCACATCATAATCTTTGATCTTTCAAAATTGGGTTTGAAGAGGAAAAGGTGAAAATGATGAGACAGATTTTCATTCTTGCCTGATACTAATTCTTTTTTATGTGTATGACAGTGAAGTAGCAGCATCACCAGGTCCATAATCCTGCCAATGAGCCTTGTACTTGGGGATAAATCAGCAGTCTGTGCCCATTCATTCCTTAGCCTTCCCTTCGTAAGTAGTGGGAACGCAGTGAAAATGCAAATAGGGAAGCCTGTGTCCTCTGTGAAACTGAGTGGCTGCTATTGAGCGCGGGCACCATTCAGGGCATCAGGCAGTGACAATCCTGTGCTAACCCAGCTTGCTTTTGTAAAGAACATCAAAGAATTTTTCTGTAACATCACTGGCCTCTGGAACAATCCATTTCTTAGCATATGGGAAATAAACACTTCTGTCATTGCTTAATAGCACTTTTTAGTAAACAATAGTCAGCACCCTGGTGAAATAAGTAGCTTTTACTGTCAAGGCAGACAGAAATTTTGATGTTTTGTTTATTTCTGTAGACAGATGTTTTTATGAAAGCACTTGATAAACTATGGCTGTAAAGTCAAAAGCATTTCTCTTTCCTGTTCCCTATATTAATTTCACTGGTAAGTTATATTCAATAGAGGAATTTATCTTTTATGGTGACTTGACCCTAATTAACACAAATGTTTTCGATGAATGACATTTGTAAGTATTCCAGCTCTATGCAGGCTTATCACCATGATTGTTTGCGCAAGCAATTTCTGCAACAATAAAATTTCATTACAGAATCTTTGATAAAAATCACAATTCTCTGGCAAGTTAATAATTTATGCAAATCAAATGCGTATTTATTTACAAGCTTTATACACTGTATCTGGCAAACAGGATAAGGAAGTTCTGTGTTATATCGCTGAATATAGGTCATGCAAGTACAAAACCTTGAAGCAGTCTTAAAGGAAAATTCAGAAAATCCAGTGTCTGTCTTGTTAGTAGATACGCTGCAGAAGTGCAGCAAGGAGTCCTACCAGAGATCATAGCAATAACCACACAGGCAATGTGAACAGCAACATCACAGTCAGGATAACTTTCAAATCTACCACGTACTTGAAGATCACACTGATTACAAAGCTAAATCTATTTATAATGGGTCAGAAGAGGGATTGTCAGCAACAGGATGTATCTGAACCTATGCTATTTCATTGATGAGAAGTAAGCACTGACAGGCAAAATACCAGGCTTTCATTCCAGGCCTGGGATGCAAGACCTAAAATTTGAAGTTTGACCTTCACCCAGTGCTATTCCCTCTCTTCTTTGCCACTCACCCTCAGGAAATGGGTCATTCCCAGGTAAAAGCAATCATTTCTTTAAGGAACTTGTTTCTTTGGAGGAGCAATGACAGAAGTTTCCAGCTAAACAGAAACATAAGGCTTGTGCAGTATGCCAAAGACCAGATCATGATAAACTAGAAGATGCTCTATTTTGTCAACCACAAGAAGTGGAAGTTATTACCAGCCTTCAGCTACAACTCAGCATACTTCCTGTACTATCCATAGATATCCTTTCTCCATTATGGATAGTTAAAAGGCTGCTTTTATCTTCATTGAATCCCTGGCAGAGCTGATCCTGCCTGGTCTGCAAGACCAGCAGTTTTGTCTGGCCTGCCCCTAAAAGCACTCTACATTTCAGCCTTACGCTATAGGAAAAGGAGAGAGAAAACACAAGTGTGAGCTTGAAAGAGGTTGGCAATATCATCACAACCCAAAATGAGTGCAACTTTTTCTATTTGGATATAACACTCTAGTGTCTAAAAGGCATGGGTAGGCCCCCAACTGGGTAGTACTTATGATATCGTAAGTACTATTAGTAGTACCAGCTATCTACAAGGAGTCAACAACAGTATGTGCTTCACTGTGCAGAGCAGCTTTGGGTCCCATGCAGTGTGGACTCTTTGTGTTTATCGGTGTTGTTGAACCAGTTCTGCACTCACTTCAAAACTGCTGCTGAACTGCATGTGTTGTGCTGCCCTGCACTTGAGCAGGCATTGTTAAAGCCTGAGCACTAACCACCACACTTACTCTGGTATGCCAAAGGGGTGTTGGTCATGGGCCTCCTGCGTCCTTGTCCTCAGAGGCAATGTGCAGCCCAGGACAGTATTCTGGAAGGACAGGAACCACCACTAAGCAACTTCAGTTCAGCTTTTATAAACCTTTGTGTTAATTAATAGTCAGTGGTGGTTAGAAAACAGCATCTGGCCTATTTTGAGGACCTGGACTGGTAACTCTTGAACTGGATGCATCCAACTGAGTAATTTCCATGTGCTTCTTCCACTGCCTCCCAATGAACTCCAGAATAAAATTCCTTCATTGCTTTCACAGAGTTAGAGCTTGAACTGCTGCCATTGAAAGAGGTTCTGCATTTCACAACACTAACAGATGCACTTGGTTAACACTGATGTCATTCCTACACACAAGACCAAATTTGGGCT